ATAATTCTTATTCTTTTATGGAAAATTTGCAAACCCATGTAAAGCCACAAATATGTAATTAGTAGATGACTTCTAAGAGCGGATCTACATAATAATCAACCAGACGTCTCGGAAATAGAGAAAAATGACCATTGAATATGGTTTTGCTCGATGTTGATTGAGAAAATACCTGAAAAATATTTCGGCCTTGTTTGTTTGCATTTCGTGATATATGCTCACTAAAGCTTCATCTCATTATGGTATTTGTAAAGAAACAGTAACTTATTAAAAAAGTTCTATCTCCTTTTCTCTCAGTTTTTGAAATATGCCTTTTATATAACATGTACGTACTAGCCACTGCTCGCATTTAACCAGGGGTACCCAACGACTGTTATCTGTTCGGAGAAGCAAATATTACCTAGAATTTTCTGTAGCTTGAGGCTAGAATTTCTAAATAACGACCGTTCCATTCATGTACAATTTTCGAAGCTTATCTAATAACTTCACTACGATTTTCTGAAGTTTAATTTTTCAGATTTTACTCCCCGATTAGGCAGGCTATTTTTCGCAAAAAAGAGGAAACCAAAAATTTTCGGATTAAAAAATGTGATGGAGAGAGGAATCAGAAAAATTGTCACTTTCGTAATACATTGAATTGCATCTAAAATTTTCGGGAAAAAAAACTGAAGCTCTTGAAATTTCGAAAAGACTAAAGTTGCCCTAGGATGAACGAACAGATACAAATTTTATAGTGCCGCTTAAAGTGTATTTCTTCAGATTTAAAAGTACTCTGGATAGCCTAAAAAGTGCTTTCAAATGGTTTTAGGAGGAAACCATCGTTGGGTGCCCCTGTTTAACTGCGGCTGGTGCACATTTTTTTAAAATTCCTTGAGAATTTTCATTCCTATTCTTTCATTGTCCCACAAGACGAGACAAGTATCTGAATATTTTTTTAAACTTAAATCTTATTCGCATGTCTGAGCTTGCGACAGCAGCGAAAAAGTTGATTTAAGAAGTGGCTTCGCGTCCCACACTTCAGCTTGATTATAGCAACTACCCTTTCTTTGTCAAACATAGGCGAACTCTCCTGTCGTTGAACTCCTAAGAGCCATCTCCAAGGTCAGAAAGAGAAAAGAAAGTTCGACGTCGCCTGTCTGGCGCCCTCCATAAAACGTAAAATTAGGCAATTTTACTTCGAAGTCGTGCATTGACGGCAAAAAAATGTACAAAGAACTGCAATGCGGCAGATTTGTTTTTCGGGCGTTCTCGTTGCCGTCGTCGAAACATAGAGCGGCGGTTTGTCTCAAATGGAAACGCGTATGAGCTCTCATTGGGAGGTTTCTAAACTTCTTGAAAATATGATATTACATTTCCACTAGTTTATAATTAACTTATAAGAAGAAGCCTAGAGTTCTTACTTACCTAGACTTCTGTACAAAGGCAGGAGCCCATTCGAGAAGTTGTTACGAAAGAACACGAAGGATTTAATGGAATTACTTCAATAACAGAAAATTAAAACTACATAGTGCGGTAATAATATACCTTTGGTCAATTTATTTTGGAGTCCATTAGCATAAAAAAAAGACAGAGCAGGATATTTGTTAACATTGTACGGCTGTTTATTACCAATCGACAAATCTTCGGTTTTCTTATATTTTATTCACCGATATTTTATTCAAGACTATTCAATAAATGTATGAATACATGCAAGAAGATCACCAAAAGATTTCTAGTTGTAAAGTCTTGAGCAATATGTGTGCGATTTCCTATTATAAAAAACCTAAAATATTTTGAGCTGTTGCGGTAATGTTCCTATAAAAGTTTTGATTCAGAGCAGAGAAACTGATAAGCAATTTTAAGCTGATGGTTTCCTATTAAAATACTTATTCACTGTAAAGCAAAGGAAACCGCAGTAAAACGTTTAAGCAGCTTGTAGAGGCACCAAGTAAGCGTGTCCACACAAAGTTCTATAATTAGTTGGGTAAAACTTCTCTTCGAGTATCAGGTCGCGTACGAAACCTTGCAAAGACCTGAACCTTTACGAGGTTATTTGCACATTTATCTTTGTTTTTTCTGCCAATTTCTGGACTTAACCTATTTATTTCTTCGTGGGCGTCGTTTATTCGCACTTGCGGTTTCATCACTTTGTAGGGTGCACCGTCAGAAGGCTAGTTATGTGTTTTCAAGCATTTTTTTTAAAAAATCGTTAGACTAAAAATATATTTACAATTAACTTCTAAAAGAAGCCCTATTGCTCCTCACTCAGAATTTATTGGAAAGGTTTTTTATTCTAACTAAAGATAACACATATTAAGTGAAGTACATGTTATCAATGGCCGAATTTATACTAGAGACGAATTATCCGTCTGAGACGGATAATTCGTCCAAGTATAAATTCGGTGCTTAGACGAATTATCGAACAAAATTCGTCTGAGGGTGATTCGTCTTTTAGCACGTCATGAAGACGTGCTAATCGGAAAATTCGTCTTAGACGGATGATCCGTCTCTAAATTTATATCTAGACGGAACGAGACTCTCTTTTGACGAAGTTTCCACTTGAGAGGGACTGGTTTCTATATTTTCGCAATGTTTCCTGTTTCCGTCGTGTAACCCGCGTAAAATACCTAGACAAATAATTCGTCAAAAGTCGTCTTCGGATTTATACATGGACGAATTATCGGTCTGACGGATAATCCGTCTAGACGAGTAGTTCGTCTCTTGAATAAATTCGGCCAATGTAAGAGGGAAGAACATTATAAATGATCTTTCACTTTTTTATAAGATCCAGTAAAATTTAGTCGCTTTGCCCTCCGTGAGTTATCTTTTAACACCTCCTGTACCAGGGGAAAGTCCCATAGTATGACACAACCGTGTTTGTGTAATTAAAGGGACAGTGTCCCGATTATGCGCACGCGCGAGCGTCATCTGTTTTTTCTTCAAAAGACAATAGAACTGCCAAATTGACTCGACAAGATTTCCTTCCGGACCGCACCAGGCACCGACAGAGATTTGTTGTTTATATTCTCAAGTAATATTTTAGACTTTCGAAGAAGTCTTTCGTCTTATAAAAAAATTTGGCTCGCGGTTCGAAGACTCATCGCGATTTTATCGCTAGCTGGGCCGCCTCGCGACCCGAAAATCTCGTTCCGCTCGCTTTAAAAACATATTTGCTAATTTGAAACTCGTGTCAGAGGTCAATCGCTCCAAGTCCAGTAATATCTGCCTGATTTGCTCGCGTTCTAGCCTCAAACGTTTGAAAGACATAAATAAAAATGCAATCTCAACGCTATGAATCATCACAAAGGTTAGTCAAAAATGGTATTATGATTTCATGTCAATAGTTTTTCAAAACAAGTAACGCCTGTTTGTTTGATTTTGTCGGCCGTAGGGAGATTCATTTAAAAGTTTACTAACGCGTCGTTGCAAAACATTCTGCTTCACGAATCTCCCCTCCACAAGATCTCCTCAGTCACATCAATGTCTCAACGGTTTCTTTCTTACAGTCTTTCTTGTTGCTGTTTCATTTCTACGTATTCCTTTCACAATTATCTGATCTTGTATGGAAGCTAGCAGAAGAAATAAGCCTTCAATCGGCATTAAAGTGCTTCCAATCTTTTGGTCCTCCGGCCAAAGGTAATAAAAGTAACGCCAAAAAATCCAGATTTTGCCCAAATCGAAACTTAACAGGAACAATACATCATTGATCTATAATCCTGAGAAGTTTTAGTGTCGTATTGAACCCGGCCAAGCGCAATGCAAACGGATTTTTCAAGATTCTCTTACTCTCCTCGCATCTTTTGATTTCGCGACATCCTGTCCAAAATTCAAAGTTTGGTGCATGCGCAGTAACGGGATACTGTTCCTTTAAGGATATTTAGAAACAGTCAGACGTCAATCAAAATAATGAATACACTTGTAAATTGTGCTTGTTAAGTTTTATTTAAGGACCCTCGCATACAATTACTATTTTTTGTACCAATACGATGACCAGAAAACAACAAAATAAGAAATTTTGTCACGTCTGAGAACTATAGCTCTACACTTGTTCATCAACTTGGACAGGAGGCTCAAATCGAGCTGTTGTTTGTTTTGTTTTGTTTTACCAACGTCTGCAAGTAGGCCCCACCAACGGTTTCCAGGGAAAGGACGAGTGGTGGACACATTTTAGAGAAGGGCAGGGAGAAGGGCGCAGATGGTAGCAAGCTGCAGGATACATAAATTCAAAGAGGACAGACGGCAAATTGTGGTTGCTAGAAATATCTATAAGTTGTAACTTTTCATCAGTAAAAAGCACCAAATGAAAACGTTGTTGTAAGTGGGGAGGGGAGGAGGGTTGGGAAAATAGTGCGTACCTCTAGATGGCCTGTTTCAGGCGTTCGGCGCTGTCCCCACGATCTGAACGCCTGGAACAGGCTAACCCCTAGAAAAATTCCGCTTACGTCCCTGATGACCATCCAAAAAATAATGAACGGCTATCGTCCAACCCCACATCAATCATGCAACGGGAGTAACATCGTACGAAACTTTTATTGTTTATCAGTGACAACGGAACTAGCCTAGAGCCGCAAGGAAGACAGCTATCAACAGAACACAAGAAGATGATAAAACATTTGCTATCTCGCTTTTTTACTCAGGGTGTTTTCAATAATTACCACACATGCCACACAAACTTGGATCACCTCAACGTTTATTAATTGCACGGCTACAAAATCATTACACTGACAAGAGAGAAGTGCTTGTAAAACAGAGCTTTTTGCTTTTAAAAGCCTTGAATTGTGACGTCATCAAAGAACGAGTGTCAACCACCGGCAATAAATGGTGGTGTGACTTAATGTTTCGAAAACACCGCCGCGAATCAATGAATGTAAATCTCATCCCATATGACTATTATAGTATATAAAACGTGTGCCAAATTTTCTAAGCATTCCGGTCCTTTCATTATTTTATTGTCACGCATATGAGTCATTCGTGGCTCCTTGGTCAGCGACTGTGGAGGAATAACCAACTTCGTAACATAACAGCTAGAATTTGTCTTCTTCATCAGAGTGACCTTGAATTATTTCATCTAAGCGCTGAAAAAGGAACTTTTTCTGTTTTTGTAGCTTCTGAAACTGGCATTTGATAACGTCTTCTGAGAAGCGTACTTTGCGATGCTGCACCGTAATTTTTAGGGAGTTATTATAACTCCAAAAATGGAGTAAAAATTTTAGGTACAGAATAATGCCTTTTTGGGGGTTATGTTAT